ACTCACAGTGTCTCTCCCCCAGGGTACTGATCTCTGTCACTCATAGTGTCTCTCCCCCAGGGTACTGATCTCTGTCACTCACAGTGTCTCTCCCCCAGGGTACTGATCTCTGTCACTCACAGTGTCTCTCCCCCCAGGGTACTGATCTCTGTCACTCACAGTGTCTCTCCCCCCAGGGTACTGATCTCTGTCACTCACAGTGTCTCTCCCCCAGGGTACTGATCTCTGTCACTCATAGTGTCTCTCCCCCCAGGGTACTGATCTCTGTCACTCACAGTGTCTCTCCCCCCAGGGTACTGATCTCTGTCACTCACAGTGTCTCTCCCCCCAGAGTACTGATCTCTGTCACTCATAGTGTTCTCCCCCAGGGTACTGATCTCTGTCACTCATAGTGTATCTCCCCCCAGAGTACTGATCTCTGTCACTCATAGTGTCTCTCCCCCCAGGGTACTGATCTCTGTCACTCATAGTGTCTCTCCCCCAGGTACTGAGCTCTGTGTCACTCACAGTGTCTCTCCCCCCAGGGTGCTGAGCTCTGTGTCACACATAGTGTCTCTCCCCCCAGGGTACTGATGTCTGTCACTCATAGTGTCTCTCACCCCAGGGTACTGATCTCTGTCACTCACCGTGTCTCTCCCCTCAGGGTACTGATCTCTGTCACTCATAGTATTTCTCCCCCAGGTACTGATCTCTGTCACTCACAGTGTCTCTCCCCCCAGGGTACTGATCTCTGTCACTCACAGTGTCTGTCCCCCCAGGGTACTGATCTCTGTCACTCATAGTATTTCTCCCCCCAGGGTACTGATCTCTGTCACTCATAGTGTCTCTCCCCCCAGGGTACTGATCTCTGTCACTCATAGTGTCTCTCCCCCAGGGTACTGAGCTCTGTGTGACTCACAGTGTCTCTCCCCCCAGGGTGCTGAGCTCTGTGTCACACATAGTGTCTCTGCCCCCAGGGTACTCAGCTCTGTGTCACGTAGTGTCTCTCCCCCCAGGGTACTGAGCTCTGTGTCACTCACAGTGTCTCTCCCCCCAGGGTACTGATCTCTGTCACTCACAGTGTCTCTCCCCCCAGGGTACTGTCGTCTGTCACTCACAGTGTCTCTCCCCCAGGGTACTGATGCTCTGTCACTCACAGTGTCTCTCCCCCCAGGGTACTGATCTCTGTCACTCATAGTGGTCTCCCCCAGGGTACTGATCTCTGTCACTCATAGTGTCTCCCCCCAGGGTACTGATCTCTGTCACTCACTAGTGTCTCTCCCCCCAGGGTACTGAGCTCTGTCACTCACAGTGTCTCTCCCCCAGGGTACTGATCTCTGTCACTCACAGTGTCTCCCCCAGGGTACTGATCTCTGTCACTCATAGTGTCTCTCCCCCCAGGGTACTGATCTCTGTCACTACATAGTGCTCTCTCCCCCAGGAGTACTGATCTCTGTCACTCATAGTTTCTCCCCCCCAGGTACTGATCTCTGTCACTCACAGTGTCTCTCCCCCCAGGGTACTGATCTCTGTCACACATAGTGTATCTCCCCCAGGGTACTGATCTCTGTCACTCAGTGTCTCCCCCCAGGGTACTGATCTCTGTCACTCACAGTGTCTTCCCCCCAGGGTACTGATCTCTGTCACTCATAGTCTCTCCCCCCAGGGTACTGATCTCTGTCACTCATAGTGTCTCTCCCCCAGGGAGAGACACTATGAGTGACAGAGATCAGTACCCTGGGGAGAGACACTGAGTGTGACACAGAGACTCAGTACCTGTGGGGAGAGACCTATGAGTGACACAGAGATCAGTACCCTGGGGGAGAGACACTATGTGTGACACAGATCAGTAACCCAGGGGGAGAGACACTATGTGTGACAGAGCTCAGTACCCTGGGGGAGAGACACTATGAGTGACAGAGATCAGTACTCTGGGGGGAGAGACACTGTGAGTGACAGGGATCAGTACCCTGGGAGGAGAGACACTATGAGTGACAGAGATCAGTACCCTGGGGGAGAGACACTGTGAGTGACAGAGATCAGTACCCTGGGGGGAGAGACACTGTGAGTGACAGAGATCAGTACCCTGGGGGAGAGACACTGTGAGTGACAGAGATCAGTACCCTGGGGGGAGAGACACTATGTGTGATAGAGCTCAGTACCCTGAGGTGAGAGACACTATGAGTGACAGAGATCAGTACCCTGGGGGGAGAGACACTATGAGTGACAGAGATCAGTACCCTGGGGGGAGAGACACTATGAGTGACAGAGATCAGTACTGTGGGGGGAGAGACACTATGAGTGACAGAGATCAGTACCCTGGGGGTAGAAACACTATGAGTGACATAGATCAGTACTCTGGGGGGAGAGACACTATGAGTGACAGAGATCAGTACCCTGGGGGGAGAGACACTGTGTGTGACAGAGCTCAGTACGCTGGGGGGAGAGACACTATGAGTGACAGAGATCAGTACCGTGGGGGAGAGACACTGTGAGCGACACAGAGCTCAGTACCCTGGGGGGAGAGACACTGTGAGTGACAGTGATCAGTACCCTGGGGGGAGAGACACTGTGAGTGACAGACATCAGTACGCTGGGGGGAGAGACACTATGAGTGACAGAGATCAGTACCCTGGGGGAGAGACACTGTGAGTGACAGAGATCAGTACTCTGGGGGGAGAGACACTGTGAGTGACAGAGATCAGTACTCTGGGGGGAGAGACACTGTGAGTGACAGGGATCAGTACCCTGGGAGGAGAGACACTATGAGTGACAGAGATCAGTACCCAGGGGGAGAGACACTGTGAGTGACAGGGATCAGTACCTTGGGGGGAGAGACACAATGTGAGTGACAGAGATCAGTACCCTGGGGGGAGAGACACTGTGAGTGACAGAGATCAGTACCCTGGGGGGAGAGACACTATGTGTGACAGAGATGAGTACCCTGAGGGGAGAGACACTATGTGTGACACAGAGCTCAGTACCCAGGGGGAGAGACACTATGTGTGACACAGAGCTCAGTACCCAGGGGGAGAGACACTGTGTGTGACACAGAGCTCAGTACCCTGGGGGGAGAGACACTGTGAGTGACAGAGATCAGTACCCTGGGGGAGAGACACTATGAGTGACAGAGCTCAGTACCCTGGGGGAGAGACACTATGAGTGACACAGAGCTCAGTACCCTGGGGGGAGAGACACTATGAGTGACAGAGCTCAGTACCCTGGGGGAGAGACACTATGTGTGACAGAGCTCAGTACCCTGGCGGGAGAGACACTATGAGTGACACAGAGCTCATTACCCTCGGGGGAGAGACACTGTGTGTGACAGAGCTCAGTACCCTGGGGGAGAGACACTGAGTGTGACACAGAGCTCAGTACCCTGGGGGGAGAGACACTATGAGTGACAGAGCTCAGTACCCTGGGGTGAGAGACACTATGTGTGACACAGAGCTCAGTACCCTGTGGGGAGAGACACTATGAGTGACACAGAGATCAGTACCCTGAGGGGAGAGACACTATGTATGACACAGAGCTCAGTACCCAGGGGGAGAGACACTATGTGTGACACAGAGCTCAGTACCCTGGGGGAGAGACACTATGAGTGACAGAGATCAGTACCCTGGGGGGAGAGACACTATGTGTGACAGACATCCGTACCCTGGGGGGAGAGACACTGTGAGTGACACAGATCAGTACCCTGGGGGGGGAGACACTATGAGTGACAGAGATCAGTACCCTGGGGGGAGAGACACTATGTGTGACAGACATCCGTACCCTGGGGGGAGAGACACTGTGAGTGACACAGATCAGTACCCTGGGGGGGGAGACACTATGAGTGACAGAGATCAGTACCCTGGGGGGAGAGACACTATGTGTGATAGAGATCAGTACCCTGGGGGGGGAGACACTATGAGTGACAGAGATCAGTACCCTGGGGGGAGAGACACTGTGAGTGACAGACATCAGTACCCTGGGGGGAGAGACACTGTGAGTGACAGACATCAGTACCCTGGGGGGAGAGACACTGTGAGTGACAGACATCAGTACCCTGGGGGGAGAGATACTGTGAGTGACACAGATCAGTACCCTGGGGGGAGAGACACTATGAGTGACAGACATCAGTACCCTGGGGGGAGAGACACTGTGAGTGACAGACATCAGTACCCTGGGGGGAGAGACACTGTGAGTGACAGACATCAGTACCCTGGGGGGAGAGACACTGTGAGTGACAGACATCAGTACCCTGGGGGGAGAGACACTGTGTGTGACAGAGCTCAGTAACCTGGGGGGGAGAGACACTATGAGTGACAGAGATCAGTACTCTGGGGGGAGAGACACTGTGAGTGACAGAGATCAGTACTCTGGGGGGAGAGACACTATGAGTGACAGAGATCAGTACCCTGGGGGGAGAGACACTGTGAGTGACAGAGATCAGTACCCTGGGGGGGGAGACACTATGAGTGACAGAGATCAGTACTCTGGGGGGAGAGACACTATGAGTGACAGAGATTAGTACTCTGGGAGGAGAGACACTGTGTGTGACAGAGCTCAGTACTGTGGGGGGAGAGACACTATGAGTGACACAGATCAGTACCCTGGGGGGAGAGACACTATGAGTGACACAGATCAGTACCCTGGGGGGAGAGACACTGTGAGTGACAGAGCTCAGTACTGTGGGGGGAGAGACACTATGAGTGACAGAGCTCAGTACTGTGGGAGGCGAGGGCCGCAATCAGCCAATAGGAGCCGAGGTCAGCGAGCGCCGCCCCCGTTGATTGGCGGCGGCTCCGAGCGGGATGAGAGAGGCGGCGTCCGATTGGCGCAGCGCGGCTGCCAGTCAGGAATCCGGGCGGGGTCCGACGTTTGCCGAAAAGGCGGGAAATGCTTAAACGCGGGAGTTGGTGTCCGAGCGGCTGCCGCGTCCCCACCGCCTATTTATTTATTATTGTACCTTGTGTGTGTGTCGGGCAGGGAGTCGCCCCCCTCCTCCCCCCCCCGCCGCCGCCTCCCCGGGGGGCGCCATGGCCGAACCCCCCATCGCCTGCGATTCCCCCAAACGTGTCTCTGTGATCAGGACCACCCCGATCAAACCCAAGCGGGTGGAGCTGACCCCCACCAGCCCGGGCTTCAGCGACTTCATGGTCTATCCCTGGAAATGGGGCGAGAACGCTCACAACGTGACCCTCAGCCCCGGGGGCCCCTTCCAGGGCGGCGGCGGAGACCACCAGCTCGGGGCTGCGGCTCTGGACCGGGAGCTCTCTCAGGTGGGTCAGTGGGCACCGATGCCATTACCTCTCTCCCCGTCTCCCCAGTCCCCTGGTCTTTCTGCATCAGCACTCGGGAGTTTGCAGTGTGTGTGTATATATATATATATATATACATATAATTGTGGGTATATTGTTTCTCCACTAAATCTGCGCTGATTTTTACTTTAAAATTCGCGCTTCATCCAACACATTGTGTTTGGCTTTATGTGATGTGTGGGTGTGTGTGTGTGGGGGTGTGTGGGGGTGTGTGGGGGTGAGGGTGTGTGTGTGAGGGTGTGGGTGAGGGTGTGTGTGTGTGGAGGGGGTGAGGGTCTGGGTGAGGGTGAGGGGGTGTGTGTGGGGGTGAGGGTGAGGGGGTGTGTGTGGGGGTGAGGGTGTGTGTGTGTGGAGGGGGTGAGGGTGTGGGTGAGGGGGTGTGTGTGGGTGAGGGGGTGTGTGGGGGTGAGGGTGGCTGTGAGGGTTGCGGGTGTGTGGGGGTGAGGGTGGGGTGAGGGTGTGTGTGTGTGAGGGTGTGTGTGGGGGTGAGGGTGTGAGGGTGTGTGGGGGTGAGGGTGTGTGTGGGGGTGAGGGTGTGTGTGAGGGGGTGTGTGGGGGTGAGGGTGTGTGTGTGTGGGTGAGGGTGAGGGTGTGTGTGGGTGAGGGTGTGTGTGGGTGAGGGTGTGTGGGTGAGGGTGTGGGTGTGGGTGAGGGTGTGGGTGTGTGTGGGGGTGTGTGTGGGGGTGTGTGTGAGGGTGGGGGTGAGGGTGAGGGTGTGTGTGTGGGGGGGGGGTGTGGGGGTGAGGGTGTGTGTGTGTGAGGGTGTGTGTGGGTGTGTGTGTAGGGGGGGTCACAAGTGCTTTCAAATGACCCGCTCGTCTGTTTCACATCCCTCTTTATTTTTCTTCTCTCTCTCTCTCTCTCTCTCTCTTTCACTCGTCTTTTTTTATTTTGTCTTTGAAACGTTTTTTTTTAAAAAAAAATAGGCATAAATAATATAGATTTTTTTTTAAAAAAAAGGCGTGTGTCGGTGGAGGGGCAGTAAAGTGCAATGGGGGGGACCGAACGGGTTAAGTGCAGGGACCCAGTGAGCGGGAGGGGAAGGGGGGGGTGTGTCTGGGTGTACCCCCCCCTCCCCTCCCCTCTCCCCTCTCCCCTCTCTCTCTCCCTCTCGGTGTGTGTCTGTGGTGCAGGTCCTGGGTCTGTGTTGGCGCGCAATTTTACTGTTCAATATCACACACACACACACACACACACAGAGAGAGAGAGAGAAAAAGAAAGAGAGAGAGAGAGAGAGAGAGAAGCGCTGCGATCAACACATAAACAAACCAGAGGGAGGAGAGGCTGCACCGAGGGGGCGGTCACTGACCCCCCGCACACAGACCCCCCCCCACCCCCCAACCCCCCCCTCGCATTTCATTCTCGTTTCGCATCTCCGGCTTCTCTTTATGCAACAAAACCGTCTTCATCTCTCTGTGTTTTTATATATATATATATATATATCCACATATACGAACATAATATATGTCGATCCTCTCTCTGGGTCGCAGCTGAATGATTAGCAGATGAATGAAATCACTTCCTGGTGAGGTTTGTCAGACGCCACTCAACACCCAACCCCCAGCTCCCCAGCCCACCCCCCAGCCCCCCACCCCCCCAGCCCCCAGCCCCCACCCACCAGCCCACCAGCCCACCAGCCCCCCAACCCCCCAACCCCCCCCCAGCCCCCCAGCCCACCAAAAAATAATAATACAAGACTCGCTCTGCAAACCTGCCCCCGTTTAAAAAGATCAGACACACACACACACACAGACAGCCTCTTGTGGGGGGTGGGGGGAGGGGGGGTTCTTGTTGAGATCTTGTAACGTTTCACAGTATTGCAGGGAAGGTGTCCCTTTTTTAAAAAAAAATTGGTATTTTTTTGCAGTGGTGTCTTCAGTGGTGCCCGATCCTCCAGAGTTGACAATAGATTGAAGATAAGAGCAGAGCAGAGAGATTGTCAGTGAAGATATCAAGGCAGAAAGTGCGGTTTATTTTGATCAGATGTTTTCAACTCTTCCCCCCCCCCCCCCCCCCCCCTCCCTCTCCCCCTCACTCACCGATTGAAGCAGCCTGGGTTGCATTTCTTACTTTTGTTTGAAATATAAAGTTGATTTCTTTGCATCACTTTCACTGTTTAACGATTTTCAGTCTCTCCCCCCCAAAAAAAGCAGATGCAATCATTACAATATTGTGACGGGTCAAGTTTGCAAGGATAAGGGGGGGGGGGGGGGTGGGTTGGAACTGCTCCATCGGGAATGTTGCACACCCTGGTAGTGGGGCTGTGCTAAATCTCCTTCAATAATAATAATAATAATAATCCTTGCATTTGATATAGCGCTTTTCACATCGGGAGGACATCCCAAACTGACTTGGGAGCGTTTAATTTGTTTTCTCTTTTGAAAACGACACGGTGATGGCTTCTTGCAGGATGGGACGAGACGTGGGCGACCCAGAGCCGAGCTGATTCGGGATCTGATCAACGAGGGCGAGAACTCCCCCAGCAGAATCCGCTGCAATATCTGCAACCGAGTGTTCCCCCGTGAGAAGTCCTTACAAGCTCATAAAAGAACCCACACTGGTAAGCCACCACTCACTCACTTGTACCATGTAACTCACCTGTGGTGGTCTGTTCTGCGCCAGACTATCATTACAACCACCACCACAACAACAACAACAAACACTCGACAGCCCCCCCTCCACCAAGGAAACACATTACTTTCTTGGCTTGTTGTCGCTTGCCATTCTTGTAGCTTGTGTGTTATTTTTTTTTTCGTTTCCAATCCCCGAGTAAGACCTGACCTTTTACCAAGAGAGGCATTGCTGAACAGCAGAGATCGCTGTATGTACAACGTGTGTCTGTCTGTCTGTCTGTCTGTCTGTCTGCACAATGACCTGATGTTTTGGAAACGGTTTGTAGAAAGCAAGAAATCCGTTGAAAACGATAAAGATGATGCTTTTTCCATGTGTTATAAATCCCCTGCTTTCCATTGTTTTCTGTTGTTTTTATAAATCCCCTGTTTGCTATTGATTTCTGATTTTTTTTAGACATTCGTTAGCACCCAGAGCACCTACTAATTCCTCCGTCTGTTTCTTTATCTGATTCTAACCACTTGGGTAATGCCACCTAGTGGTAATTTGTTAATGATCTGTTGGGTAGGATTGAGGGAGGAATGATTATTTCAGCATTATTTCTTAATTAACCAAGTTCTCAATCGTTCACTGAATAAAGTAATATTTTAAATATCTGATTTCTCTGTAATAAAACTGCTTACCCAAGGAGATTTGCTTGGATTATACTTGGAGTTGCCCAGTGAGATTATTCCATTTAGGCAAATACATTATTCATAGTGCAGAAGAACTGAATTTATATTGTTATATGACAACCTCTGCCCTTCTCCAGCTCGCCCATTAGAATTAAGATGATACACCAAGGGTTGATAATTCTTTTTATTTGGTTGTACATATTTTGACACCATAAGAGTACCATGCATTCAAATGGTCTGCGTTGGTCGTCTAACAGTATGCTTGATGCATCAGACTTCTATCTGCTCCAAATTTCATATGAAATGTGAACATAACAATCGTCTTCCTTCATTGCCATGTTTACATTTAATTTTGCGTGAAGTTTGCAGCAGCTGGAAGTTTTGACGTACCACAGACACAAGTAGATGACTGGTGCAGACCAAGGGAACACCATGCTGTATTATGCTGTAATAATAATGGTTAATAAAACCTTGCATTTGATATAACACCTTTTCATGTTGTTGATGTCTCAAAAGTCCTTGCCAGGATATATTGTGAAGTGGTTTGACTCGGTCAGTTGCGCACAGCAATGTCCCACAAACAGCCATAAAGTGAGTGAGCAATTTTATTTGGGGGGTGTTGGCCAGGACACTGGAAGAAACTTCCTTTGTAAAATGTTCGGATGGGGACAACCAATATGGTGGTGTCAACCCTCACCCCTGTATTTCGCGTCTCGATCCTCTAGTTCATGAACCTAGCATTTATATATTACTTAGTTATCTAGATCAATTCACTTTACAGCATATTCTGTGAAACGCTTTGAGACATCTAGAAGCTGTGAAAAGCGCTATATCAAATGCAAGGATTATTGTTATTATAAATTACAGTCTCCTTCTGGCTGGCTTGCCAACTTATAAGATGTTTGGATGGAGACAACCAATATGGTGGTATAATAATTCAAAGGTTATTAAATAATACAGACAGCCAGAGAGTCGAACAAAGTAGCCTAGCTTATCCTTCTAACTGAGACCATCGATACAATAAAATCGATATTAGCCGATCCCACTGGGAAGAAGCGTTCCCAACTCCAACTATTTAAAAGTTGCTTCTTTTATGTGTTTCTAACGCTGTCTCCCATTGTCACAGAGAATGAAGCCCCTGCCCTTCGCGAGCTGCTAGTGACCTTGAGCAGGCTGTTTGTGAAGCTAGTCATTGAATCAAACCAACCTTATAATAATAATCCTTAATAATAGTTGCATTCGATATAGTGCTTTTCACGTCTTCTGGACGTCTCAAAGCGCTTCACAGAATATACTGAAAAATGATTTGACTATTTGTGGGCGAAACGCGGCAGCCAATTGCACACAGTGGTATCCCACAAACAGTCGTCGATCGAATGACCATATTATTATTATAACTTTTTTGAAGGATTATTATGCCCGGAAAAGTGATCCGCCAATCGACTAACAACTGGGTTCCTACTTACTGCTAGGTAAACAGAGGAATAAGGAAACTTGCCCAACATTTTGTCCTGCTGGGAATCAAACCCAGGTCTCTCGCTTGCGAGCTGAGTGCTCTAACCACTGAGCTACAGGACTCCACAAAGGAGTATGGATAGATTGCATTGTAAAAGTATATAAAGATTAATTAAAAGCTTTTAAAAAAAATTAAGCATCACAAATATAATCTTATAGTCCTCACCTTGAGAGTGAGAAAATAAGATTTTCGATCTCTCACTTAACCTGTTTTTGAATCAAACTTGTCAATTCGGGGTGATCAGCCTTATTTTCATTTTGTTTCAAAGTGCACTTAACATAGCATATTAAAATAAACAATATAAAAATCATGACTTACACTATTACGAACAGCATGAGTCCGAATTGACAATCATTCCATTTCTTGATCCTTCTGGTTCTCTTGGACATTTAATTGAATCAGAGCCACTTAGTCCCAATGAGTTGATGGTACTCGATCCCTCAGCCACGGGCCTTGTTTTGGTTAGCACCAATAGTTCTCCAAAACGAGCAGTCTGGTGGGGGTATTGTAAACCTGTTTCTTAAGAGTTTCTTACTGTTTCTTAGAGTATTCGGTGACACATTGTCTCCTTCAGTGTTATTGATCCATATCACTTTAGTCAGGCACATTATCCACAAGCTCTCCATTTTTCTGGGAAAAAATCAAACCGTATTTGTTACTTACGTCTTTGATTTTTTTTCTGCTATTTTTAGTTGATTAGTATGGCGCCATCTACATGCAAGTTTTTTTTTAACATTGTTGTTAAAGTTCGGTTCCCCTTTTCACAATTCCAGATGACTGGGTGATGTGATACATGCAATTTTTGTTCAATTCCCATTACTCATTGTATTTCCTTAAACACTTTTCCACTAAAATGTGAGCCTTGATCACTGTCCACCTGTATTGGCAGTCACAATCCCCACCTTGACATCACTTCACACAACAGTATGTGTGCTACAGTGATGGCAGTGTTACTTCTACAGAGGAAGGCTTTGATCTATTTGGTAAATTTACCAATTATTACTAAACAATATTGGTATCCTGACTCAGATTTTGGCAGCGATCCAATAAAATCAATTTGTATATGGTTCCAAGGACTGTCAGGTGGAGGAGCTCATCCCAAAAATGTTTGGTTAGTATGCAAATTGTTAGTTAGTTAATTAGTTAGTTGCAAATTGTAAGCAAATTAAGCAACTTTGATCTTGTATCATTTTCTAAGCCTGGCCACCAAGCTTTATTCAATATCCTTTGGATGGTAAGCTTTGCTGACCAGTCAGTAGAGTGGTGTTTATGGAATATGCACTATCAGACCAGATGTTAACTTCAATACCCATAGTCATTTGTACGGCTGTAAGTAGAGCTGTCAACTCAGCATACTGGGATGAATGAGGGTTGCGCTTAAGAGTGTCTGTCGATCAAAACGGTCAGCAAGTTTTCGATGCAGGCACAGGTAATCGACTGATGATGTCAACCTTGTGCTGGTCTGGACTACACTCCTCATCTGAGACCCTGATTCCCAGTAACCCAACAGAGATCTGCACGTGTTGTGCTTTCTTTGTGTTTACTTTTAACTCTGCCTGCTCCAGCAGCTGTAACAGTTCTTGCAGCAGTATCTGATGCTGCCAGAAATAAATCATCCACATATTGTAATAAGCACTGTGATGCAGAAAAGTCCTTGACTAGTGCAGTCATCCTCTTGTGGAATATTGTTGGAGAATTATGGAATCCCTGAGGCAAACAAGTCCACGTGTGTACTGTTGATCTTCAAATGTAAATGCAAATTTAACAAGAATACTCCAAAATCCATTAGATATATCCAATGTGGAAAACAACTTTGCCCTCGGTGGTATTTGTGACAACAGTGTAGGAAATTCCCTCACAACAGGTGAACGCAGTTCCTGCTGCATGTGTTCGACTTTCTCCTCGCTTCTCTTCGCAAACAATGTGCCGCATACACCAACTGTGGCTAACTTCACCTTAATCCGACCTCCATCAACTTCTTTATCTAGGTGACTGACTTCTTACCTCCTTATAAGCAGGAGCATCTTTGGTCATTACCAAAACTAATTCTTCCTTACCGGCAATCCCGGACAACTGTTTCTCGAAAGCCTTTCCATGGTCACTTTATTCTATCGGAGAGTATCAATCCTCACCCCTGTATCTCACGTCTCGATCGTCTAGTTCATGAACCTAGCATCTGTATATTACTTAGTTATCTAGATCAATTACAGTCTCCTCCTGGCTGGCTCGCCAATTTGTAGGATGTTCGGATGGAGACAACCTCTACGATGACTCCCAGCTATTTAAAAGTTGCATCTTTCTTTTATGTGTTTCTAACTCTGCCTCCCCTTGTCACAGAGAATAAAGCCCCTGCCCTTTGCAAGCTGCTAGTGACCTTGAACAGGCTGTTTTCCCCAGGGTAAAGAACTGATAGGGAGATGGGGATAACTTTTTGTTTTGGCAGCCTTCTCCAACCTGCACATTTCTCAACCTTGAGACAGGCAGGTGTCTGAGGCTGTTGCCTTTTCTTTCTGAGGTCCACTGTTCCTATGTCTGTCTCATGGACCTGATTGCTCATTATCTCAGAGGAGTGAACATCGTCCCAGGAAAATATTAAATTAATTGGAAGCTAGTCTCAGCCCGTCCAGCAAAGCTACGTTTAACCCCTGTGAAGCTAGTCATTAAATCAAAATGATTATGGATAGGTTACATTCTAAAATTATATAAAGATTAATTAAAAGCCTTAAAAAATATATTAAGCATCACAAACACCTCTTTTTGGATAGTGCCACAACCTTCTGTCTCGAGGCAAGAGTGCGACCACTGAGCCAGGCTGACACACAAAGCCTGCTGTTAAGATGTCAAATCACGATCTTGATGAGGATATCGAAGTTAATATATCTAAATTCGCGGAATGACACAAAACTAGGAGGAAGTGTCAACACAGAGGACGACATTAAAAAAAAATGCAGCGAAACATAGATAGGTTAGGCGATGGGCAGGTAGGTGGCAGATGAAGTATAATCTAAGGAAGTGCGAAGTCATCCACCTGGGTAGCAAAAACAGTAGAACGGGTTATTTTTTTAGAAGGGGAGAGATTGGAATGTGTTAGTGTCCAGAGGGACTTGGGTGTCCTTGTACACCCATCACAGAAAGTTAGTCTGCAGGGGCAGCAGCAATTAGGAAGGCGAACGGTATGTTAGTATTCATTATGAAAGGATTAGAGTATAAGAGTAGGGAAGTCTTGCTGCAACTGTATAGGGCCCTGGTGAGACCACACCTGGAATACTGTGTGCAGTTTTGGTCTCCTTATTTAAGGAAGGATGTACTTGCCTTGGAGGGGCTGCAGCGTAGATTTACTTGGTTAGTACCAGGGATGAAGGGGATGAGTTACGAGGATAGGTTGACCAATTTGAGCCTATATTCTCTAGAATATAGAAGAATTAGAGGGGATTGTATAGAAACCTATAAGATCATCAAAGGGCATGATAGAGTAGATAGTGGGAGATTGTTTCCCCTGGTTGGAGAAACTAAAACCAGGGGTCACAACATTAAAATCAGAGGCCAGCCCTTTCGCACTGAGTTGAGGAAGAATTTCTTCACTCAAAGGGTGGTGGATGTATGGAACTCACTACCCCAAAGGGCTGTTGACGCTCAGTCCTTGAACATATTCAAGACTGAGATAGATAGATTTCTTATTGCAAAAGGGATTAAGGGATATGGGGATAAGGCAGGGTTATGTTATTAGCTGGAGTTAGATTAGAAGATCAGCCATGATTGAATGGCGGGGCAGGCTCAAAGGGCCGAATGGCCTACTCCTGCTCCTACATGTTATGTTATGTTAAATCATGTGAAACACAAGTAGAAATCTCCATATCAGAACAAAGTAGATTAGCTGAGTTGGGAGATGCTAAATGCTCATGGATAATTGATATCTTGTAGTATTATTTACAGCAAGCATTTTGGGAAAGGTTTTTCAATCCTTGCTCTATCATCTTAAATGGTTGCAGCTAATTCCAATGGGCTAAATAAATATTGTGAACCTGATAACTTGTATGTCTCAACCATTCATTAAAAAACAGAGTTCAGAGGAGCTGTGCAGCCTTATTTAGAAACAAATTGGACAACAATGGTTGACTTGCCATGTAACAAGTTTTTCCACTAAAACATTGTGATGATAAGTTCTCCCGAGGAATCGTGTCGAATTGTTAAAGTTCTCAGTGAGGGAATCTATCTGTTTGAAATGCCTATGCTAAATGTTTTTTTATATAAAGGTGAAAGGCCTTATTTATGTGACTATCCAAACTGCGGGAAAGCTTTTGTTCAGAGTGGACAGCTGAAAACTCACCAGCGCCTTCACACTGGAGAAAAACCATTTGTCTGTTCAGAGAACGGTGAGCTTATGTTTTTTTAAAAAATCCTCTATATTGTCTGAATCGACAATGTGTCTGAGAGATCAAGTTTCTATTGTGTAATGTCATGCCTCCTGTACCTCAATCTATTTGATATTTTGGGGTGGGAGCACTTTTTTGTGTTTGATGTCCTCCTGTACAAAGCATGAGTGTAAAAGGCAAATCAAATGCACAAATATTGCAGGTTGAACCATTCAGTTGTCAAAGCTACAGGGGTGAGTTACTGTATGCGGAACAAAACTATAAGCTAGGACTATTTGATCTTAAAAAGAGAAGGGATTTTAAAGGTGTACTAGATGCTAAAACAAAGGACAAAAGTGTTTAGGTTCAGGGTTGTAAAGGGTAAGTTTAGGAGCCAGAAGCTATTTCTTTACACAGGGGTAACTGGAACAGTTTTATCAGGAAGGCCACTGAATTTGTATAGTGTGTTGCTGTTATGGGAAGATGGTATGGTGAATGTTCTGGAAGGAGAAGATCAAATAGACTCAAGGATGAGATCAAATAATCTGCATCTCTTGTGCTTATCACATTGTTCTGAGTGTTACATTTTGTGTTTTGTTTCCATTTTTCTGAGTTAATTTTAAAAAGATCTTTTTGCCTTGGAAGAGAAATGGTGCAATTAATATTTGCTGGTTTGTGTGTAGGGTGTGGGAGCAGATTTACACATGCCAATCGGCATTGTGCCAAACATCCTTATGCACGTCTACGGAGAGATGAAGACTCTAACGGAGCAAGCAAAGCCCAGGTCGCAGACAACAAGGCTGTTGCAGAGTGGCTGGCAAAGTGAGTTTGTGCAGAAAAGTCTATCTTGTGAATAAGTAATCATTTTCTTGAAATAGTGTATTTTACCACTTTGTTGTTCTTCGTAGCAGGAGCTACTGAGATGTGAAACTCCTCATGGTATTAACCTACAAATACAGCTACAAAACTTAACCTGATTGCAGTTGTATTTGAGGTGCTTTGAGATGTTTCAGCGTGGTAATGTTCTCTAAAAATGCACATTATTTATTTTTTCAATTCCAAATATTTAAGAGTTAATATTTTTTCAAAAAAAGTTGACAAATGTGACATTTCATTACGGATTTGATGTAATCTTTTAATATGTTTAAACAACATAATTTCAGACTAATTCATTGGGTCTAGGTTTGAACGCCATACCTTAGGCACAGTGGTTTGAAAGTTGTTCGGGAGCTATTTTGGATTGACTGTTGTGAGAGGAGGAGGACAAACATATCTTTATTACCACAATTAATTGTAATGTGTAAGCGGGAATGCTCATCGGGTAGCTATTAATCCAGAAGGTGGTTTGAGTCCAAAGCCCTGACCCTGAAGGTCTTGTCCACCCACAGGTACTGGGAGACCCGAGAGCAGCGCTCTCCTCCCACAAAGAGTGGGGGGCAGAAGGCTGACCAGGAGCAGCAGGATCCCCTAGAGTTCATGCAGTCTGATGAAGACGAGGAGGAGGAGGAGGAGAAGAACGGTCCACATGCTGCAGCACGGAGGCGTTTGCAGGAGCAAAGAGAGCGCTTGCATGGCGCCCTGGCCCTCATTGAGTTGGCGAACTTGACAGAAGCACAGCTCCGCCAGTAAATTGCAATACAATGTGTGTATTTTACATATTAAAAAAAACCGAACCACCCGGGGACCCATATTCTCATAGGTCCACCGGACGGGTGGAAATGCACCTTATATTTGCTTTTAATAGGCTGCTATTATGTAGAAATTAAGATGATGAATGTTGTTGCCCTTGCTTAAAGGAGCACAAGTGTAATGCACTTTTTGTTTATGTAAAGTTTTAGTTTTGTAAATATTGCAAAGCTTTTGAAGGATTGAAGTAATGCTAGGGCAGGATCTCGAGGCTGCAGGTGCTGAAGTCTAGGTCCAGCAGGAATGCTGAACTCTCAATGGCCTTGGGACTGGGGGGTGGGGGGGGTGTAGGTAGGTGGATGAGAAGGAGCTCGTGATATAAATCCACCACATTGGAATGTAAGGCGAGCAGAGCCTTTCTGAGCTCTTACTTGGAGATTATCTTTTTGGTTGATCTTTAGCATACAGTTTTCACAGGTGATGTGTGCAGACCAAATCCCTGGTGTCAGTGTGTCCCAATATTAGTAAAAGCTGCCAGGTCCTGTGATTTCTCCGCCCCTCTTCAATAATGTGTCAATAAAGGCAAAGCTGCTAGAAATATGTTGCTTGAACCATCACTTGGACTTTACGACGATTCTTCTTGGGAAATGCACAAATTTCAGCATAAGAGCTTTAATGCATAAACCAAGACCCTTGCAGTGGAGTTGAGCTAATTTATGCAGGGTTAATATCGAACCATTAACACTTTTTCATAGGAAAATAGGCTTGACTGTTTACTATTGATTGGATGGAGCTCATCGCCCAGCATTACATGCGTACAAGTGATATTGACACATAATTGAAGGGAGGAGTGGACTTACAGTAACCTTGTCCCATGCAGAGGAGTCATTCCATTTGAAACAAATGCTTCCCTTTGAATGGCTGGTTATTCACTGACATCAGTTGGGACTGGGATAGGCAGTTCTTGTCTAATCTGTAGGTGACGTATGCTGGCTCTCAGAGGCACAGAAAATACCGAAATGTAGTGCTCAAGTGAAACTTCAGCTAGGCATGAAAATATTAGCACTAGGTTTGTTCTTATAGCACTTGCGCACAGGAGCCCGTTTAAAGACTCCTGTGCTAGATTTGTGGACCAGTTGCACCTTGTGTTTATATTAAAAAAAAGCAACTTGCATTCCATCAAATGGAGCTAAGCAGACTTGTGAGACCTGTAAGCTTGATGTGTTCAAGGCAGGTTTTAGTGGTTTGGGAACCCTACCAGAGATATGCAGCACTTGTAAATTTTAGTTAGGTTTGAACTGGGTGATTTGGTGATGGAAGAAGTTTTGTTGAATTTCTTGTTGGCAACACTAAATTGTATTGGTAGTGTATTGTAGACATTATATTGCAGTAGACTGAAGTTTTATAGCTTGCAGTTATTGCTTTGTTGCAATTTAAAGTCAAAAAGTCCTTTTTTACTTTGTCGGACAGCTTCTGTTTGTTTTCCATAATCCAATATTTTCTGCATCTTTTCATTGTTAAGTTTTTGTTAAATCACAACATATCTATAGCATGAAGTTTTACTTTTTAAAAAAAATTCTGTAGGTTGACCGTACCATTACAAGCTTGAAGTGCAGTCAGTCACAGTTGATACTTAACAGCCTGTTTTACACTTATATAGTCACAGCATTGACTAATGCAAACTGAGATGCAACAGTTACTCACTTTCTAAAAGAGAAGCAGTCGATCATTGGAATGTCCAGACAGACGTAAGGGATTTAATACTTTTTTTAAAAAAAAATATGAATATATATCAAAGCCTACCAAGCCAGTCAGTTTCTATTCAATACTTTTACTTCCATCAGTCTACTAGGTTTTGCATAATACAATTGTATTTATTTTAAGATACAGGTTTAAATTGGATATAATTTGATGTGTGACTGACTCCTTTGAGCTATGTTGCTGTAGAAGGTGTTGATTTTTTGCATGGAGCTGCATGAACCCATTTTCTTTTGGAACATGAAAATGCTAAGAGCCATGCAAATGATCTGCTCCCAGCACCTGGTCAGCTGCTCTGCAAAGATCACCTCAGTCAAAGGATCGTTCTAAATTGCAAATGATCCAACCTTTGCCTGGGAGCAGTGTTCAACCGGACATCATGCTTCTCATCATGCCCATAGAGGTGACTTGAGAGCAGTCGCACAAAAAGTTGCCATTCTAATTTAATAATTTTATTGGGGAATTCATTTTTAAATTTTGAGAAAAATTTGTGTCTTGTAGTAGTTATACCTCAACTGTGTGTATATGTGTGTGATGGGGGTGGGGGGGTAGAGCGAGGGCAGGAGAAAGAGAAAGCGTAAGTTTGACATGAGTGACTGAGGGGTTGGTGTGTTGCAATTAGTTTTATGTTTTGTGTGTTCTGGATTTGTGAAATTCATTTGTCACTAATTCTAAATCAGGCAGATTTATGAGATGAAATAAAATCTTGTAACCAAGTTATTGCTGATATCACTGACTGTTCGGAGTCTATCTGTCGCCTCTCCTTTGGGCTAATACAATACTGGATTTGTCTATTATTCCAATTAATTTCCCTGCTTTGATTTTGCTCAGCAGTATTTGGGTTTTTCATATCCTGAACAGGGGGAGGGTGACAGAGGAGGAAGGTGGCATTGTTTTGGATCTCATCTGAAACAAAACAGCGTAAATGGCACTTAGTACATAAAGTGCATCTCCTCCAGGGATGTATTGAGAATGCAACTGTGAGATGTTCAATTGGAGTTGCGTTCTTGTTGAGGCAGATGGGTGGAGCAACTACCAGTAGGAGCACTTTTATGTCCTGTGATGCTTATTCCAGCAAGGCACCATTTATGGAGCTATTTTCCTGATGGGCTTCTAACCGTCAATAACAGGTTCCTTGAGGACACAGTGGCCTGGAGTAACTACCCACCTCTATTGGCCTCCAGTCTTCTAATAACCAATCTGAGATCCAGATCTTGCCACTCAATTCCTCCGAAACATCTTTAGCTGAAAAAATAACTTTCCAGTTCGAGGGTAATGATATTAGTCCCACCTTTAGAACAGTCAGTGAATTACTGTAACTTGGAGGAATTGAATTGAATTTGCAAAGTTGCATTTTGGGGGGATTTATTTTCAGGAGCGCTTTAAAGTTTTGGGTAAGGTGATTGCGTGAGCACTGCTGCTTTTCAAAGGTACATTCTCTGCTGCACTTCTGAATTTACAAAGGGTTGTGTGGGCTTGCTTTCTTCATTAACTGTTATTGTGTTGACTTAAAATTCCATTGTTCAAAGTAAATTTGTATTTACTAAGTTAATGTAAAAGGGAATGTTTAGACAGAAGATAGCCTTATTTGATTTTTTTAAAAATTATGAAACAGTCATTTTTGGACAGGTTAGTTCAACATTTGGAAGAGATTTAAAAGTGCTTTGATTCAGAAGCATCGTTCCAGGCTGTATAAAAGCACTTACGCTTTGCACTTGAGTTATGCACAGATGATCTTTTTCTGTTGCAATGTTTTTAGTTTGGATTTCTGAAACTTTTATTTTGATGTCATTTTTAGAAGGCAACTTTTTTTAAAAGACTTTTATGCACTCACTAGCTTGAAGCTGAGATGGAAATTTTGTTTTTAAATTTGTTTTTTTCTCTCCCCACCCCACCTGAGTTTTACTTCTCCTTCCTGTGGCTGCTTTTCAAACTGTAAAGGTACTTGGGAGTAGAGACGGTCACCTGTTTAAATCTGCTTCATTCAAAAAAATAAGCACTCTAATAATTCTGACATTTTAATATTCAGTACTCTAAATAAATATCTGTAGTTGTACAAAATTGGTCGCTCTTTTCTTTAGTCTGACACAATAACTTGCATTTACAAAGTGGCTCTTGTGAAAAATCTCAAAGTACAGTGCTTTACAAAATAACTGGTTAGAGATCAAAGTTAGTGATTATACAGGCATACATGGCAACCTATCATGCAGCAATGTCCAATAAACAACTGAGTTGAATTGATACAATGACTTAAATACAATAATCCAAAATTAAAAATAAATAATCTAAAGTTATGGCACTTGTTATGAATAAAAACCAGTTTACGCTGTAGTCTGTCCTTTGAACCTTATAATGGGCCAAATAGCATCCAAATGGAAATTTGTCAATTCTACATACAACAACTTGCACTTATAATAGCGCCCTCCACAGGGTAATGTCTCAGAGCGTTTAACAGTGGCGGAATCTGACTCCGAGCTGGGGAGTGGGGGAGATGGCCATAAGCATGGTCGATGAGGAAAGTTTTTAGGTGGGATTTGAAAAGGGAAAGATGGGGCAAGGCAGAGGGATTGAGGGAGAGTGTTCCAGAGTTTCGGGGCATAGTGGCTGAAATCGTGACCTCCAATGGTGGGGCGGAGGGTGCGAGGGACAAGCAAGAGGCTGGTGCCAGTCGAGCGGAGGCGCCAGTTGGTCGATTGGGAGTGAGGAGGTTGGAGAGGTAGGGAGATGCCAGAGAATAAATGGATTTGAACACGAGACTGAGGACCTTGAAGTTGATCCGTTCAGTGAAGGGCAGCCAGTGGAGCCTGGCCAGAACTGGTGAGATGGGGGTACGGAGTTTGGTTCGGGTCAGTATGTGGGCGGCAGAGGTTTGAATGAGCTGGATTTTTTGAATAGCGGAGCTGGGGAGACTGGCGAGGAGTGCATTTGAGTAATCCAGGTGAGACGTGACAAACGCATGAACATACAGTTTCTTTCCTGGCTTCAGTCTAAAGGGTAGCATTTAAGATATTGACAATTTATTTGCCCACAAAATACTCACTACACTTTACAGTACATGCCGTGAAGCACTTTTATACGTCTTGATGGGATAAGGCGCTACATCAAATAGAAGGATTATTATTTATCTGAAGTACAAGAATATTTGCATCCGTATCCTCTTATTTCAGTCTGTTTCACAAGGAATGGCAACACATACTGTATATGAGAATATGATTTTTTAAAAGAAGTTTTTACTCAAGTCTTTGGTGGAAATTGTTTGGTGAGTAAGTGATCTTATTTCATGTTTCTACTTCTGAAATCAGTCATGGAAAAAGTACACAATAAATAATCCACACTTCAAGACATCCTTCCAAGTCTTTTGGAGGTGCTTTACAGGATTACTGTAGAGTGTGACTAGACAACTGCGGCAGCCAATTTGTGCATAGAAATGTCCAACCAACAGCCATAAACTGAATGACAAACTTTATTTGGGGGATTGTTGTCTGGACACCCGAAGAAACTCCAAAGAAAGCCAAGCTCTATCCATGTGCAACAAAAGGTGTGTTAGCTGGAACTGAACACCAAGGGATAGGTTAGAAGCTGAGAATGATCAGTATTCTAACATTGAAACCTGAGGATGGTATAACAAATGTCTTGCATTTTTGTAAGCATAGATGTTAGTTTGCATCAATGCATTCATACTGGTCAACGATGAGAGTAGCATCATTTCCTTAACTGGAGCTCCTGGTTCTTGAAACGAGTTGAACTACAGCTGTTTGTAGCAATTGCAAGCAGAGATCATCAATGAGGCCCCAGGTAATGCCAGACAAGTCTTAAACATTATTGCTCAATTGATTATTTTAATTTTAATTACATATTAGCCACTTGTTTTGTCAATAACAACGACTTACATTTTCGTAGTTTGCTTCACCCAGCTAGCATCTCAAAACACTTAAAACCTTAAGACTGGTTTGTCGAACTGGATGGATTTGATTCAATATAAACATACTAGTGTGAGCTGAAATGGCATACGGGAAAATCTGCATGAGCTTGACCTCAGGGCAAAGTAGACAATTTTTAATTGTATCTCGGCCACTTAACAGTATTTGATTAATAGAGGAAAGAAGCAACTTATCAGTTTCCTATAAAATATTTAAGTGAGACCCACCCCCTACTCCTTTGGCCCCCATCCCATCCAGCTTCCAATGACCCAATTACCCCACTTCTGCCCCTGACTTAAGACAATGGGTTAATTTAAAAAGTAGCTTGATGTGTTAGTGGGAGGTCAATTGGGTTAATATTCTGGACCAGATGGGCTGAAGAGCCTTTTTCATCCAAAGTAATCTTATGTGAGAAAGTCAAGCAAGAGCCAGAAATCATCTCTCTAATGTCATTGTCTCTAAAGACCAAATACGCCCTTCTTGACATGAAAGGTGTTTTCCCTATTTTCCTGGAAACAATCTTACAGATACTGGATTTGAATGGACTGTTTCCAGGGAAATACCAGACAGTGTTTTACGAATAGGGGAAATAGCACCTCGCCTCAACGTTTCGAGCTCTGTAAAATGGTGAACCTCCAATGTCAGACACAGTCCATGCCACTCAATAGTAAGAGGACCAAGCCCACGTGAGAACCTCTCAAGGACTCAAACATACATAGCTTGGTTGGAATAATCTTGCTGATCATCTGTGCTAACACCACATTACATTGCTCCTCTACGTGGAAGGTGATATTGAGAGAGAAGCAGAGGTATGTTCCAGCCTTCAGACAAACTGAAGTTCACACACAAAACATGCAGTCACTCCACTTTATAATATATCCTGTGAAGTGCTTTGGGACAGCCTTCTGACATGAGCAGTGCTAAACCAGATGTTAGGATTATTATTATTATTAATAATGAAAATTAATTCTTATTTGGTGCAAAATGGCCCCAATTATAACAAAAAAAACAACACATTTCTATTCTCCAGAGCACGTATCGTTTTAGGGACATTCTGAATAGTGTGCATGAACAGCGAAGCATAAGTAACAACTGTCAGACAGTCTCAGACAGTCTACCAAGGTCACACCCCACAGTCTTGACAATTCTCTAAAGCGGCAAGCCGGTAATGAAAATAGTATCGTTAACACTAAATTGGCCGCCTCCAGGGAATGGAGATCAGCGCATACTTCATAACACAATTCATTTCTCAGGAAGGTCAGGTCATTACCAGATGCATTGAAGGCAGACATAAACAGTTAAGTAAACAAAGTCACTGCCATGAAATACTGACTCAATCCAATTCACATGGCATTGACCTTGCGCTTGCTGGTGGAGTCCACAGACACCTCTAATGGTGCCACTGAGGTAGAGTTCAGCTGCGGAATTACTCTGGCATCTTCCAATTTACTCACGGTTATAATAATAATCTTTGCATTTTGATACAGTGTCTTTTAAGCGCTTTGGGATGTCCTCCTGATGTGAAAAGCGCTATATCAAATGCAAGGATTATTATTATTATTATTATTATGTCATTGGGAAGTCTCAAAATGCTTCACAGAATATATTGTAAAGTGAATTGCCTGTGTAGAGTACTTTGTGGGCGAAACACAGTGTCGAAACACACTTGCGCACAGCAGTGTCTCACAAACAGTTGTGGATGGAGTGATCAACATTTGTTGGGGGTGGAGGGATTGTTACCTCTGGAAAGCAATCTGCTAATCGACTAAACAGACGGTTCCTACTTACTGCTAGGTAAATAGAGATGCGTGTAGTAAGGAAACTTGCTTAAGATTTTGCCCCATCTGGAAATCAAACCTAGGTCCTCTCGCATGCAAAGTGAATGCGCTAACAATTATGCTAAGAGAATGGTTGGAGCAGACAACTCAAAAGAGTTACCACCAGAATCCCTGTTACCCATGACAAAGCCGGAAGCAGTTTTGACACAATTAAAAACTGGAGTCTCGTCCAATGTGAAATTGCAGCAGATCAATCTAACGCACTGTCCCTGTTCATGTAATGTTGCCTTTGGGAAGGTTAAATTGTTGATGCTGGTGCAGAATTCCAGGAGGATTTCCCCGTAAATGGAGATTTTATAGCCCTGAAAGTTGAATGGGTGCTTGCCGTGTTTTTTCCCCGAACACTAAATCCTTGATCTTGGAAATGCATAAATCAAGAGCACAAAAGCAATGGGTCAGCAGAGATGCCAAACATGCTATTATTTCCCCAGATTTTGCTCCCCTTGGGGATCCCAAAATCCTAATGTTATTGCAGCCGCAGCAATTGTCCAGGTCACCTGTCTCGGTGGATGTAACTTGCTTCTGTCACAGTGGGAGGCTAATGTATCTTAATGAGCACCTTCCTCACATTTCCTCACACACCTTCTAATTTTTCTAATTTTCCACTTCTTGTACACTAAAGAGATAGGTGAAACTCAGCTTAAAATTGAGTACATTGTGGTTTGAAGAATGAAGCTCTTTGATTTTGCAGTTGCAGGTTAATCAGCCAGGCCTGAGAAACTGCTCCTGTCTAGAATTTTAGGCTATATTGTTGAGCATTTCTTTTTCACTCTGAATACCTAACCCCGGGATTTCTAAACAGATGTTCATCCAGCATTGACTGCTTTCGCTGCATGTCTATTGCTTATACATTTTGGGCCAAAAAGCTAAATAAACAGATTCTTCAGGACCAGTGGCAAGAGGTGAAATTTAGCCCAGTGCAACCTATTTATTGCATTAAGTTTGAAAAATAACTGACTTTTGCATTAGTTGATCAGTATATTTTGAATTTTTGGGGTTTCATAACAGATTTGCTCTGCTAATTATCACATTGATTCTGTTTATGTAATGTTGCATTTTTCCTTCCATTCTTAAAGACGTTCAGAGAACTTAACAGCTCCCTCCCCCAAATTCAGCGCAATGATTTGGGATCTCTTCTCGATGTGAAAGGTGCTGTACAAATGCAGTTTTGTTGTTTTTTGTTGTTAATTTGGTCCAAAGACCATTTTCAAATAATTTCAATGCAGCTCAATTATTTTTTCAATCCTGGAGCCAGTATTTGAGCCCTGCTTCACTGGATACTAATTTGAGA